ATAATAGTATGTACTAATAATCTAATTTTATATAAAAATAATTGATGATAATCCTCTTTTCAATTATACCTTATTATAAAAAGGAATACGTACAAAGGCGCCTGTGAGCGCTTTTTTAAACTGGTGGCTGGTCTTAATAATATCTATGTTTAACAACATCTTGGATTATAATAATATTCGTTTTGAAGCATGAACTAACGTATTCAAAACATTGGAAAAGCCAATTTTTGGGACGTTCTTACCTTACCTTACTGCTCCTTTCTCCTAACTGTGGAGATTGAGGCTTTGTTGAGTAATGTTTTTCCATTTCTTCCTGTCTCTGGCCACTGCTGAAGCTTAACCCCAGCTTCTCCATCCAAATTCATTTCTTTCTTTTTCAGTTGTTCTTCTCCAGGTGGTTCTTGGCCTTCCTCTTATTCTCCTGCTTTCTGGGGTCCACATGATAGCATGTCTGGCATAGTTACCATTTTCTTTTCGAAGGAGGTGTCCAATCCATCGCCATCTCCTCTTATGTATTTCTTGACTTAGTTCATTTGTATTAGTAATTTGATACAGTTCTTCATTTGTTATTTTCATTGGCCAGCGTATCTTCATTATTTTTCTCAGGCATCTTCTTTGAAATATATTGAGCTTCTGTTCGTCAGCTTTTGTAATCTTCCAGGTTTCTGCGCTATATAGTAGAACCGAGATAATGTTGGATTTAAAGATTTTCAGCTTGGTCTTTTTCTTATAAATATTGGAGTTCCAAATTTTATCAAGTAGTTTGAAGGCTGTTTGTGCAAGTGCAATTCTTCTACTTATATCATTGTCAGTACCCCTCTCTTTGGAGATTGTTGCACCAAGGTAAGTGAAGTTGTCCACATCTTCTAGTTCACCGTCATCCACTCTGATTGTTTCATCATTTCTGTTGTTGATTCGCATTACTCTTGTCTTCCTTTTGTTTATTCTTAAGCCTATATTTTTTCCTGCAATGCCTAATCTGTCTGTTTTAATTTGGAGTTGTTCTTTAGTGCTGAAGATCAGTGCGATGTCATCTGCATATTCGAGATCTTCTAGTGTGGTGTGTAGTGTCCATCTTATTCCATTTGTTCTTCTGGTTGTTTATCTCATCACCCAATCTATTGCTAGTGTAAACAAGAATCCAGACATGACACATCCCTGCTTAACACCTGTATCTACTCTAAACCAGTCTGACAGTTTCCCTTCACTGATTATGGCACTTTCGCTTCCATCATACCAATTACTTATGATTCTGATGAACTTCTTTGGAGTTCCATAGCTTTTCATGATCTTCCATAGTTTTTCTCGGTCTATGCTGTCGAATGCTTTTTCAAAATCGATGAAATTGATATATAATGAGGTATTCCACTCTAAGCTTTGTTCAATGATGTTTCTCAACGTAAATATTTGTTCTGTTGTTCCTCTACCTCTTCTAAAACCAGCTTGTTCATCTCTGAGTTTTATATCAATTGCTTCTTTCATCCGTTCTATTAGAATTCTACCAAACACTTTACTAGCAGTTGGCAGCAGGGATATACCTCTGTGGTTGTTGCATTTGGTTAGATCTCCTTTTTTTGGCAGTATGGTGATGATACTCTTTTTCCATGTTGTTGGCACTTCATTTTGAAGAATCTGGTTGAAGATGGCTGTGAGCACATCTTCGGTAACTTCGTTACTTCCGTTCCACATCTCAGTCGTGATCCCATCGATTCCTGCTGCTTTTCTCTTTTTCATTTTCTTTATTGCTTTTCTTACCTCTTCAGTTTTTATTTCATTGAGATTTATGTTTAAATCCTCGGGTATTCTCTCAGTTGTTTCGTCGAATCCTTGCTCTAGTTGTGTTATTGGCCGATTAAGTGTTGCTTCAAAGTGTTCTTTCCATCGTTGTCTAACCTCTTCTTCACCGGTGATTAAAACCCCATCTTTACCCTTCACTCCCATGCTTCTCCTTCTACCTTTGTAACATAGATTCTTTGTTATTTTGTAGAGCCTGTTCATGTCTCCTCTTGCTGATGCAGCTTCTGCTTCATCGGCCATTTTGTCTAACATTTTTCTTTTGTCTGCTCGGACTCTTCTTTTCACCTCTCTGTCTTTTTTCTCATATTCATTTTTCCTCATTTCTTTTATTCTTCCTGATCTTGCTTGCTCTATTAGTCCCTTTAAACATTTTCTTTCATCAATGGCTCTCCACGATTCCGAAGATATCCATGGTTTGTTTGTGCCTTTTCTTCTACCGAGTATTTTCTGTGCTGTTATGATATATGCTTGTTGTATATTTTCCCATTCTTTGTTTACATCAGTATTAGGCTCCTTGTTTATCGTTTTCTTCAGTTCTTTGTCATATTCTTGTTTGATTTTATTACATTTTAGCTTGTTGGATTCATATATTATTCTACTCGTTTGATGTCTTTTCCTATACGCTCTTAACTTTATGCGTATTGTTGCAACAATTAGGTTGTGGTCGCTGTGTATGTCCACTCCTCGTTTTGTTCGTAGATCTAATAGTGAGCTTCTATGTTTCCTGGTAATGGTGAGGTGATCTATTTGGTTTCTTGTCTTTCCTGATGGTGAGGTCCAAGTGTACTTATGTATATTCTTGTGTTTGAATAATGTCCCTCCGATCAATAACCCATTCATCTCACATAAATCTGCGAATCTTTCTCCGTTATTGTTAATTTCTCCTAGACCTTCTTTTCCCATTATTCTTTCCCTTCCGCAGTTATTCCCACCGACTTTTGCATTTGCATCTCCAGTGACGATTAATATATCATGTCTGGGGACTTCATCTATTATTCGCTGTAATTGATCGTAAAATTCATCTTTATCTTCATTATTTGCTGTCTAGGTCGGTGCATATATTTGGATAATGGTGAGATTCATAAATTTTGTTTTGAATCTTGCCTTTACTATTCTTTCATTTATTGGTTTCCAATCTATGAGGCTGTCTTTCAATTCTTTCGCAATTATGATGGCCACACCCTTTTCATGTTTGTCTTCGCTGCCAGAATATAATATTAGTTCTCCAGTTTGTGTCGTGAGTTTGCCAAAGCCGATCTATCTGATTTCACTTGTGCCAAGAATTCCAATGTTATATTTTCTCATTTCTTGCATAAGTGTGGCTGTTTTTCCAACTTCAAATAGAGTGCGAACGTTCCAGCAACCAATTCTTGTGGATGTTTTTGCATTTACTGTTGCTTTAATTGATGGGTAGCCCTTCCGCTTCTTGCTCATCGGCCCAGTGGCTTCCTTTCGGCTTTCACCGCTACGCGTCATCCTCTGATCCTCTGTCATCCAATGCATGGTTGGATCGTCTGGGATCACGCAAGTCGCTTCGCAGGCTGAAGTGTTATACATTACTCTTAAAGTTTCCGTGACAATACTGTTTTTACCGGATGAGGTTGTCAACCTTATGCCGAACCCCAAAGGAGGGGAATGGTTTTGACTGTTTTTAGTCTGACCCTTCACCTTAGACCTGTTCGGCATGGGAGACCCTACCAGTAGCCGGGGCTACCGCCGACTTAGCTCTTCGGATCACTAGGATGCTCTAGCCTCTCTACCAACGTCAAGGTAACAACCACAGAGAAGTTTTTTGGGACGTTAGTTCCAGGTAAGCTAATTTTCCAAAGGAAACTGGACTACAAACTTAAATTTAAATATAATTTTCTTTTTTTTTTTCTCCATTTGTTGTTTTTTTATTTTTTATTTTGATGGGCGCTCTGGGTCTTCTACCACTGTATTGTAAACAGGGTACAGGAGAGTAGTGCCCATTCCGAACTATTTATACGCGCAGGTACACACAAACACGAACGAAAATGAAACGATTGCATACGTTGACATATTAGAGACATAAAATTATTTCTGACACGCGGAAGTCGTATGAATGAGAAATACAAAATACAATCCGAAAAACTCATAGATAATGGGCATGTTCAAATGAGCAAGTGTGAAGTGTAACCACTATAAACACTGCTTTGAAAACGTATTTTTAAAGTCTCAAACGGTTGCATTTTCACCGGAAATCTAGGTGTCTATTTTTAAAGTTTGTTTACTATGGGTCTTTTTGGAGTGTCGGACTCTGACAATAGTACATCAGTGGATTTCAAGTGCTCATAAAATGTTTAGTGGTTGGGTAGGAGAACTTGGGATATAACTTGTCTTGTATCCCAAACCATTCCCCATGCTATTGCAATCCCTTCTTTTGACAAAATAAGGCCTTTTATACAGATTGGAACGGTAAAGATTGCCCACCAGCCCAAAAAGGTTGAATACCAGGGTATATATAATGGTCTGCTCATGTTTTGTGGCTGTTAATACTCCTTTGTTGCTGGCCTAGTTGGCAACGTTGTAAACGTTATTCAATACGTTCGCAGGTATGTTGTAATTAATTATCTGTATTCGTCATTGTATTTTGCTAATTAGTGAGATAATGTAATAATTTGAAAATTACACTGATATATTAGTTTTGTGAGTGTGTTGTTGTACTGAGACTACAGGTCTTACAAAACTGTTTCACTACATTTTTTATGCATTAATACTTTACATTGCCATACCTTAACTAATATCCGATAATGTAATATAATAATCTTTTTTATATTGATTCGAGTGCCAATATTATGTAGTTTATCTCATGTTTGTATAACAGGAGGAATTTTGTTGTTTGCCACGGTACGGTGGTTGATTATGTATACCAAGCTGCAATGGTAAAGGTGTAAGTAAACGCTGTAGTGTGTATTATTGGAATCGTTTTTTATATTTCACTGCTATTATCATTATGTTACCATGGTACATCGTTACATAATTATTATGGCTAATTCCTAGATTGGATAGAATGGTAAAAGACAGGTGGTTTGTACATGTTAGTGGTGTCCGTTATAATGATGGTTGTGTTCCTCCAAAGTAAGATTTTGTTTAATCCTGATATTTACCCATGCATTCTGTATTGTAATTGAATCTGAGATTTGGTAATACTGCATTCTGTATTGTAATTGAATCTGAGATTTGGTATTACTGCTTAATTATGGATAGTAATGTAGTAGTGTCGTATAGTAATATTGTACATCATGGAAGTAACGTTTGTACAGTAATATTGATTGCTAATTACTGTTAAAATATATGTTACAATAATGGTATTGAGATTAATTGTGCAATTCTACCGTATAACAGGGTTTATGTGCACATTGACAGACTGAATCTGAAATTAAAGGACATCATAAAAAATAGAAGTATCACATTATTGCATAATTTAGAAGCCTTAGTTATTATAATCTTGTTACATAAGTCAGTCAACTTTGGATTTGTAATCTGATTTCTCCTCTACTTTACATCCACCAAAACCAAGCTACACGACAGAAAGTGAGCACATTTTCCACAATGGATGCGTAAAATAAATTTAATACAGTTCTATCTACCCCATAGTTTCTTAATTTCCTTAGAAAGAACAGTGGAGTGTTACCCTTTTTAACAGTATTATGACAGTGTTCTACCCATTAGATTCCAACAGAATCAATTAATAACTGGTTATTAACTTTATATGGAGCTAGATGAGTAATTTTTTTTGTATGATAATGAAAAATGATTTATTTGGTTTTCTTTCCATTAAACAAAAGGCAATTAGGCCTACACAAATTAGAGAATTAACTTTGTCATGATAATTATTTTCACTTCATCTGGTCATTTTGGAGCAGACATTAAGAAAAAATGTTTAAAAAAGTAGAGGAAAAGAAAAATGGAGAAAAACAAAAGAGAGAAAAATAAAAGTAACAATATAAACAATAAATTTAAAAAAACCTGGAGAATAAGAGAAATAATGGAAGGAATTACAAAGAAAAGTAAAAAAAAATTAATGAAAAAGACAGAAACAGAAAGCAAAAAGACGGACGCGGTTCCAGACCTTAGCATCATTCGCATGAAAATCTGGGCGA